ATACTCGAGAACGGATAAATAAATAAATAGCATATTACTTAATTAAGCAGCTAGCTAATGAATAAGATAACATATGCAGTGACTATAACAAACATGGAAGAAATCATAGATAGCTGAATCAAGGCTGGAACATAAGCACAATATTACATTGAACATATCGAAGAGTACAAGATACGGCTATGCTATTGGATGCGTTCACCTTGCAGCTGAAATTCGCTTTTATCAGCCTAATAGCCGACTAAAATTCATCAAAAAGCATAAGCCGCTGTTTAGCATAAATTATGCAGTATGGTGGTAGAACATTTGCCATCACCTTTCAATCCATCAATCATTCTACTTTCTCGTGGTCAGTGGTTGATTGTGATGAAAATGAATATATACAGAAGTAAACGTTGCTTGATTCGTTCTCAAGCGGCTCAAAAGATTTATTATTCCCGCAATACGCTAGCAAGCCATGACACCTGGAACGTCTGAAAGTCGCTGGTCTGATGCAAGTGTAGTTCTATTGGAAACATGAACAAGGGTGCGCGTACTTGACGGAGAGTGGGAAATGTGTCTTCTAATATCGTTGTTCGTTCGTCCTTTACTGGTTACCCAATCGTCAGCTGATTACAGTGAAACTAATAAGGAAGTTTTACTGGAAAATCTCGCCGGGATTCAAATTCGCTGTTTTAAAGTGCAAAGCAAAAATTTTACGTTCCACCAGTAATTATTATTGTTATCAAAATCAAACCTATTTTGTAGTTATATTCCCGTAAAGAGAAGCGCGTTGTAGTTGCCGTTATTCTAGTAGGTGCTAGAAATGATTTGCTTATACATAAAAAAAATTTTATGCATCTTCGGAACAGTTGCCATTCTTGGTTGTTGCCGTTAAACATCCGGGAATTTCGTCCTTTTATTTGCTTTCAAACCTTATACATTTTGATTATTCCAACTTGAACTCAAGAACAGAGATCATAAATATTTTGAACAGCTAAAGTCGTTCGCAACAGAACCGAATTTGAGGGATATCACCTTCAGGAACAGTTTTCTGTTTATCCAGAAAACAACGTGTAGTGTGCCTTATTAACACAGAATGAGGCTTGTTACTCAATCAATAAACATGGTTATCTTTGACGCGATGACTGTCATCAGAAGAAATTACAATTTAGTTCTGGTTACGAGTTTCATTTGTACTAACGATAAAATCAGCTATAACATTAGATAACAAATAAGAACGAGGAGATACTGAACTGCGACCACAGAAACATTAATAAGTATTGCAATGTTTGTCCCATATTACGTTCACTATATTCCAGTTCATTCATAGCTTCACTATGTTGAAATGCTTTCGGGAACATTTCCTACCGACCTATGAGTTTTTTCGAAGATATAAATGTTACTGAACAGTCTTACTTGTTAGCAAGATTTTCACCTGTCAAAACACTGCGTCACTATTCCAATGATTTTGGTAATATTATACAGAGATGTTTTGAAGGTGCACTTATGCTGATAAAAGCATTCGTTGTACACACTTACTTGACATTTTGCCTCGTTTTGTGCAACATTGTTCCATATGCTTTGTACCTTCTGTCAACTATTATTTGCAATGTTTCTTGTTGATTGTGTTCTCTGCCTTTATCACTGAAACTTTAGTTTTGAACTATTATTGAATCATGTCACAAAACTTAGATGTTAGAACTGCTAATGGTAGAATAAATACGAAATTAAGTTGCCTTCTTATCACGAGAATGCAAAGAAACTTTCATTTTTCGGCGACCTGCCAGTCTGAGGTAAAGACTATGAAAGATAAGTCATTTTTATAATTTGTTTATTTTTAAAACGTCATGTCAATATAACTTCAAAATGAAAGTTAGTAAGAACACAAAATAACTTTGTTTCCCAGCAGAAATAAAATTAAAAGTGGATGAGGATATTAAATGAATAATACTCAAATAAATGGAAGAATTTTCAAATAATCAATGAATGAAACTCCAATAGTGACTCTAATAGATCACAGCGGCATGGATTTAGAAGAACAGAAGAATCTGTACGTTTAATAGCCTTATCAGAATTCTTCACTCATAAGCCACTAAGGATCAGAGCAGCAGATTCATTATAAATTAGAATATAGTTAGTAGTTCGGAACTTTAAAATTCAAATTAAAAGTTCAGATTCAATGAGCAACAGGTCCATGAGATCATTCAACTTTCTTTCATTATGACAACATGAAGCTCTCAGTGTTCGATTTATTTCTAAGTCGGTTGAAAGAATAGAGCTGTTGTAAAATCCTAGGAACTTTACATAATTTGGAAAAATTGGATAAAAATTGCTTTTAAAATCGGAGGTATGCATAACGAGACAGAACACGTGCACTTTTGACTCCATCTTGTTTAGCTGAAAATGGATTATTTCTTCATCTCGTTCAAGCGTACAAACATTCACTGGTTCATGGTTATTAATAAATGAAACTTTTTATCAGTATCCGTAAAATCTTTTACGCAAATGTCTCACAGAAAAAAATTTCCCTAACATCTTACATCAATTTTCAATTAAAATTAGTTTTTGATTATGATTTAATAAAGACTCGTCTATTCCTCAGCGCTGCTATAGAAACATCATCTCTGATTCACATTCATGATGGAGAAAGTCCCGAAGATTATTGATTTAAAATATGGCCGATTTAGCACGGATTCAAGGAGCGCGAGAAACAGTGTTGAATCCATGGAAATCGCAATAATTTTAGTGGAATGTTGTTAACACTCCTGGTTAACACCCAACTTGATGTAATTTTCTGCTAAACTAAACTACAATTTCGATTATAAATCACGGGCTTTCTCTCTTCTTGCGCATCCTCACAACAACTATAAATCCAAAACTAATTTTTCTAGCTTGGTGATGGAACTTGCCTCTAGCGCCAATACTGCTATGCTGATGGTTTGAAAATAATCACTTCGTAATGGCTCACTGCATGGACCGCTGTTTTATTTTATATTAATAATTAATGCCAGTTCATATCTTGACCTTGGATAATTGTCAGATGTGCCTGAAGTTCATTAAAGATGCGGAATTGAATCAATGACGAAAACGCGAAATCTAAGGTAATGCGAAATGGCAGGAATTTGTCGACGACATTGTTAGTGGCACCTACTAAGACGCAACAGCTGAAACAAAGGCTGTGGATCTGCGGTAGTGCATTATCCAATCATCCTACAATGAGATTGTTTTCCCTCTTTCTCTGGAAAGTATTTTTTCGATTCTTGTTCGAGGAAAACAAAAATATGATTTTAACTTTCAATTGAAATGCATTGAGGAAATGAACGTTATTATATGCACTGACCTTATTTATTATGCCCTACTTTTCTCTCTGTTGTGATTAACGGTATTGCAGATCCTCCTTCCGAATGACCAGTTAGACCTGTAGTTTTCCAGTGTCTCGTACCACCTTGCACTTTGCATTGCGTAACATGCAATTTTCGTTGCTGCAGTGAGAAATTATAGAATACGGAGTGTGATGACATTGATTTTCTCAATCACCAGAATCGTCGTTTGCAAAATAATTAAAGGAATAGCAAGAGCGGCGACCAAATAAGCCTTTTGTTTGAGAGAAACGCTGTTCATTTAACCAAAAGTTGCGCACATGGTTATGGAAGTTCCTTCCTAGCTCACATTTAAGTTAATTAAGTCGATTTCAAGCAGTTTTCGCATGTTTAAATTTGCTCTGCCTTTCAGGGTCTTAATTTCTCGCATAGGTTCATGCAACCAAAAGATGAGAAAATCTGAAATTAAATAACAAGGAGGCACTAACCATTCAATTTCTGTTATTTTGTGTCAGGGCGTTCTACGGTATCCTCTGCATTCTCTAAACTTGCTCTTCGTTTCGTCTTTGTCCCATTTGGCCTATTGCTGATGTGATATCTTGGCATTTTACTTTTCATTTTCAGAGTTAATCACTGCGTTGATGAAAAAAAATATTGATCACTGACAACAGATGTGCTGACCATCGGTGTTCCATTGGCCGCGATTTAATTGTGTGGTCGTTGTTACATCTGACTGTGATGATTACATTATATACCGATAGCAAGTACTGCTTATGAAGCAAACAAAATTGATGGACTGATTGAAACATGAGCTAAATTATGATTTTTTTAGGAGGGAAGGGTGGGCAATGGAATACACACTTGCTTTCTGCAACCAGAGTTTGCTCAGTGCAAAATAGCATCTTTGACTTTTTTTAAGATTTACTGTTACACCATGTGATGTTGTTTAATAAGCTATCATGTGATTCATTATTAATTTCGTTTAAAGCGCAACCATCAGACAGCGTGGCCATGTCAAGCGGACGCTCTCTTATCACACAGTGATATTTATGTTGCTCATAGATCCAGCGACTAGCTACCCACTTTTCGACCGAAAGCAAAGAAGCACTCTAGGGTGAGATCATCGCTAAACGAATGAGTAATTAATAAGAGAATATTTACTTCACATAATGAATTTGAACTTAGTACTCTACAGTGCAAAACAAGCTACTAACCCCTTGCACGACTATCCCCTGATTACCGATGTACATTTTACTAGTTTCACTTTCATTCATTAATCATTTGTCTGCAGAACTGCTTATTTCTTTTATTTTTAATGGAATTCGGATTTTCTTCGAATTATTCTAGGTAGTAAGTTGTCATACGCAATCAATGCTGAACATTAATACAATACGTATGTACGTAAACATAATCTATGCAACAGATTTACCTACTTATTGCAAAATGATTTTTACTGTAATCGAGTGATCAATGCTGTATTTGAAACTTATTGTTCTTGCGCATCTTTTCGAAGCAGTGACGTTTACTGTGACCATTCTTCCGCTTATTTTGTTTGATACGGTTGGAGACTTATGGATAAACATGCGGGATCAAGGATATTCGGTTGAGATTTGACGTTGAAAGTACAAAATGCCGTTTTTCGGTGGAAGATGGGCCCGTTTACATTTACGTGGCGGGACTTACCATCGTCGAAGAGGTCGTATGCCGAAACGGAGCGCCGTTTTGTCGTCCCCGCAGAAGCCCGAACATTTTTGCAGCACCTGCGGTCAAGGCTTTTGCCAAGTTTCGTCGTTGAATGCTCATCAGGAGGTGATCCACAGTAACAGAAAGCTTATCATCGACCTTCCGGAGTTCGAAATACCGGACTCGGTCGAATGGCCGCTGCCGTCGATGTTGAAGCGCGAGCGCCGCGAAGAGGCGAAAGCCGAAGGCGTATCGGCGGGTAAATTTCGTTGTGTGATTTAACTTTAGTCGACCGCAAAGTTTTTTTTAGGTTGAATTTATGTCTCTGTTGCTCTTTGTACATGAGGATTTGATTTCGACAGTGTTTTATTGCCTAAAACAAGGATGACCGTGAGAATGCAATCAGCACCAAAAGTTCTCTTAAGCCATCAAACGTTAAAGAGTAATTTCTGCGGCCTTGGTGCCTCTGTTCGCTGTAGTATTTTGAATTTTTGACTTACATCACCTTGCATATGCGTATTTGCTGAACTTTTCTCCTATTTTGGTTTGGATGTACATGGTTTTCGTTTGTATATGGCTCGAACGATGCCATTTCGATTTTCAGACGCGCGCCGGGATGAGCAGGTATAATGCGAATAGTACTTTCTGATGTTAAGGCCTGACCGACCGAAGACCGACCGATTCCTCAGGCTAGTGCAGGTAAGCGCTAAGCGTAGTGACTGACAGGATTTGTTGCGCGCATGTGGTTGGCAGCACGAAATGTGTATCTGCTCTAATAAAACTTGTTTCGGGCACACCTGAACGAGGTTTTGATTACGTATGATCAAGTTTACACCGCTAACGTAACCTTCGTCTAATTTATTTTCTTTCCTGTTGAAAAATTCCGGTGTATTTGCTTTGCAGAACTAAAATGAGGGTTGGTACGGAGATCGTTGAAGAATTTACTCTCATTCGGTAATACCTTTTTTATTCCAACTTTGAATCAACCCTACTGGATTTGTGAGTCGAAATGTGAGTTCGCCTTCGGACTCCACCGATCGATTTTCTGTTGCCGTGTACCGTTTGTTGTACATTTGCACGTAATTATATCTACGTTTCGGTACGATTCTCATCCACGTGGGTAGACTTTCGACTTGATCAGTATACCGATAAAGGATTTTCCATTGAAATCTTTTAAGAATACGCATAAGTCGATATATCAGCTACCCTATGTGCTGACTGAAACCAGAGCATGTCTTTCTTTTTGTATGAATACGTTTACGGTGTCAGAACTGTTGAGGCAAATTTGTGAAAAAGTGGACCAACTTTGCCGTAACGAAAGTTAAGCAAAACGGGGTAGACACGGAAGCTGCACTTATTTGTTTTTGTGCTGTGGTTGTTTGTCCTGTCCGTGATCGAAAATAGTTGTAGTACTTCCAGTAGTCCGTTCAAAGAATGTTCTAGGATCAAACAACTCGCGGTGCAAAACTTTTTTTGCATAGATTTTTATTCCGGAAAAGAAACTGTATTTTATTCATAGACCTACAGCTAATATAATAGCACATGTATAAGTTGTTTCGTTTTAACAGATTGTTCTTTATATGATTTGCCCGTATTTTTGTTTTTTCCGCAATTTTTTGCTTTTGTACATAAAATACCCTGTTATGCTGATAACAGCTATGTTCTTAAGTCATAAACCTGTCATTTTCTATTTCTTGTGCAAAATATGCATATATTGTATAATATGCATACATTGGATGCAACTTTGTTTATGGTGCGCGTCTTTCTTTGTACATTGTATAGTTAAAGTCTCTTAAATTTACTGTTATTGCGATATCGTTTTTAACGCAGTTTTTTGTCTTTAGAAGTTACGTAAAAATAGAAACAAGGGAGTTTAAAAATTTGTGATCGTTGGAATGTCCCTGGGTATTCTTTACGTACCAAGAACCTGTCGTACATGTAGCTTATGATGTGATGGTAACCTCATTTTCATTGTCTTCACCCAAGAATGGCTTGTTTTGATGCTATTTCTGCAGCAAACGGAACCTGAAAAAATTGCGTAAAATACGGTTTATTTATACTCGGCGCAAAAGATACTGTTGTCAGTCCGCTGTCTGATCAATATCGACGTTTTGACCCATGTTTCACGAGCCTTCTTCAAGGTAGGTTAGTGGTGAAGTTTCGTAAACGTGACTAGTCGTCCGCACCAGTCGTTACTTTCAGAGCCAGAAGGCCTGTATAAGTTAACCGCGATTTACGTTATTTTTTCAGCTAGAGACATAATCTCTTCTTTTTTCCTACATTGTTGTGATCGTCATCTGAGGTATCAGCGTTAAGGACCGGTACTCAGATAAGTGATGTCTGACGCTTTGGCTCTTCTCAGAATGATTTAGGCGATGTTTGTTGCTGCGACAAAAGTCATGTCAACGTCGCAAGCAAGTCCGATTTTAGTAACTGTTTTTCCTGTGGTACTACTGGTTTATCTTTCTGAAAATTGTGTGACTGAACCGGGGCTAGAAACCACGTTCTCTCGACTCGAAGCAGTCGTATCCCCTTTCTCCATCCTTTCTCTGACAGGATGGTCATATTGTTCATCTTGTTGTTGCGGTTTCCCAGCTACACTTTGCTAGGGTCTTTTTGTGGATATTTTAAGATATTTTGGATTTTTACTAACTGGTTCTTTTTCAGAGTCCGTCGTTCCTTCGTATTATAAATTGCTTTACAGTTGCCTCGCTCAGCCGTCAAACGAACACCCACTAGAGTCCAAAGAGAATATAGATCTTCGGATCTTCTGTATAAAGTTCTGACATTGTCTCCATGAATAAGTATATTCGTTTAGGCAAATAAGTTTTCTGTCAGCACACCGTACCGATTGCATTTATCTTATTACATGTATTAGACGTACATTGCATTTATCCTTAAAAGAAAAGTAAAGATTTTAGCAATTCCATAACAGTATCCCATAGTTTATAAAGCGCTAAACTTGCGGTCGATAGATCACGGGTTCAAATCGCTTCTGGAACCGGGCCATCCTTATGTATCTTGAGGTGCTGTGGATCATGCTTTAAAACCATAGCCTGATTATAGCCGTCGAAATGGAGAACAGTTCACAGCCCATGAAAGAGTGGTGCCAAAAATGCAATCCACCATGAAGACGTTACTGATAATGGCATTCCAGTGGTTATATACCATGCTTGCCTTCTTTATCAATTGCACTTCCTGGTTTTCAGGTCATTGTTTCGTTACCGTAAGTCGTGCCT